CTCTGACTCTGTCTCTCTCTGGTGAATACACACACCCTATGGCAAAAACCTGAAAAAAAAAAAAAGAGAGAGAGAGAGAGAGAGAAAGAAAAGAATATGGAAACCTTTTGGAGAGGGCCATTATTCAGTCTACCATAATAATGAAATATTGTACTTTATGTATGTTGTTTTTATTGTCAGAGGATGTGTGAACATCCCAGAGAAAAACAGAAAAGGAAGGAGAAAGGGAAATCACCCACTAATAGGGCATGCTCGCACCACTATCCCTTCTTCTCTGTCGATCCTGTGAGCATCTTTTTAGGCACACATGTGCATATACTGGCATATTATTTCAAGATGTTGAAGACATTATTTATACCATGGTTGGCCACATAGGATCCAGCTCCCTTAATGCTAGTCTACAGGGCCAGCCCAAAAGATTTTAATTTGATGTCCACTTTGATGTCAATTTTTATCTTTAATTCCAAAGCTAATATTTTCAAGAGTTGTTTCTTGAATAAAAAGAATAAGAAATCAGAGGAGAAAGTTTTCTAAGTAAATCACTATTACATGTCCAAGATTTAGCAACATAGACTAACTACCTAAAAGCTCAATTTTAACTATAGATTTTAATATTTAACTTAAAATAATCATCCCCCAGCTTTTAAAAACAAATGAAAAATTTTAAACAAAATATGCTTAAATCTAAATACCATAGACATTCTGGCATTAAATTTCTGCAATAGTATCATAATAGTATCATAGTATCATATTATGGCCTGTAAAGAAACAAGTGACAGTACAGTGCTAGCATTAGCTTCTGTTAATTGTTCATTAGCAATAATGAAATAAACACGTTTGAAGTCTGAAATATAGGAAAGGTTAGGATGTCAGTCAAAGGGCACTTAAAAGGTGAACACCCCTGACCTAGCAAGTACAGAGAATAACAGTGAAAGTGCAACAGTAGGGCTTGCAAGTAAAGGATAGTTCAACTCCAATTTCAGTCAAGATAGCTTCTCAGACCCCACCTACTTTCACTCCAGAGAAGACTTTCTTCAGAACCTTGTAAATCATCTGTTTTCAAGGCAAATAATTTCTCCATTGATTCAACATATCACTATAGAGTAAAACTTCCAAAATTATACTAACAGTTATCCTAAAAATGGAAAACAGATATTGGTTTGAGACAATTCCTAATTTATTTATTATTAAGTAAATACAATGTAAATTTCCTAAAGCAGCACAAAAACAAATATGATTTATATATATCTGAGGAAACGTAAATCATAGACAAATAGTTCTCAATATACAATGGTGTTTCATCCTAATACACCCATTGTAAGTTGCAAATATCTTAAGTTGAAAATGCATTTAATGCAATTCTCTACCAAACACAATAGCCTAGCCCACTTCAAACACGCTCAGATAGTTCCACACCATCATAAAGTCAAATCATAAACTTATAAAACATCACAAGTCATATCATCCTAAGTTGGGGACCATGTATAATCTCCCCTAAATCTATTATTAATTTCAACCAAGCTAGTATTAGAGAATGATTTAAAACAATTCTCAGAGTATATCATTTCAAACTGCTACCCTTTCAATACACATAACTCTGACAATTTATATTCACAATCATGACCTCTGGATTTTGAAATATACCAAGTTTTATTGATCATTAAAAAAAACCTAAATTTTACAGATTCCTTTGTTCTTTCTCTACTCTCACAGCTTCACTTGATTAGCCAAAAAAAAAAAAAAAGAACTAAATTATGGTCATAATAATTGAATAATTTTACTACTGAACATGTTATGGAGAACATGTTGTTGAAGTTTTTGTTCTATTTAAAATTTGCCTACATGTGAATTAGAGATACATGAACTCCTCTCAGAATACTAAAGTAGTTATAGTGCATCCCTTCCTACCACCTTGGCCAAATATAAATTCACTTTAATGAAACTAATAGTAGGGCTCAAGTTTTTAAGCAATACAACTTCATAAACCCTTTCAATCTACAGGGGAAAAAAAGCTTTTGAAAGAAGTAATTATTTTTCTAAATCCTGACATTTTTGTTTTTGTTTGACTCTACCAATGCAGTATCAGTATAAAATACAATAGGAGATATCTGGTATTTCATGTCAGAATATATTCATTTTTGAGATTGATTTTATGCAATAAAAACTAAGCAAGACAAAAAAACTTTTGTATAAGCAAAACTGAAAATTACTAAAAAGGAATCATTAGTGAGTTTTTCTAAAAAAATGTTTAACTTTGTGAACATTTCTGGATAATGCTAATGAGGATAATAATTATAATGATGACGACAAAAATGACAAATATTTATATAATTTAGTCCAAAATGCTATTGCTGGGTGAAAAATATCCCCAGAAAGAATTATTTTAATATTAATTTATGAGGGACCAGCAGGTGCCATGGTGGTTAAGGTGCTGGACTCCCACATGGCCAACTGTGGTTCAAGTCCTGGACATGGTGGCTTGCTTCCTCACTTTCCCCCCCTTTTCTCTCTCTCTCTCTCTCTCTCTCTGTCTCTCTCTGTTTCTGGTGAGCACACATGCCCTGTAACTTTTAAAAAATAATAATAAATAAATAAAATGAAATAAAAATAATTTTTAAAAATTTAATTTATGAATCATCATCCTAGCTGTAAATGCAGTGAACAATTTTATAATTCTACTTTATCTGAACTTAACAATTACCTTCCAAGAGAGCCATTCATTCACTTGTTCTTCTACTGCTGAGTAATTCCTTAGCAGTGGCTGGCACAAGAGTGAATGGCAAGCAAAACATAAACCAAAGGACCATATATCTGTGCCATTACAAGCCGCTTCTACATAATCCTCTATTTCTATACAATTTCCAAAGCTACTCTTATATTGATGTAAGTCATATCAACTTATGTTCATTAAATACAAGGAACTCTAGAATTAATAATATTTGCATCATCTGGAAACTCATAGAAAGATTATAAATGCAAGTACCTGCAAAATTCCAAGTCACATAAAACCTGCTTTAAGTAGTTTTTTTTCTTAAGAAAAGGAAAAAAATATACAAATTATTAAGGCATACTAAGTATTTGAGGTATTTCTTGATGGCTAAGAAGCAGGATATATAACTCAGATACAACTACAGAAAATCTGATATATAATTCCTGACTGACCGTGTCCCTCAGATAAACATTTCAGTTTCCAGACAGAAAATGCAATTTCTTTCACAAATACAAAAAATTCAATCATAAAGTTTTCAAAAAAATATTGTTCAAATAATTTCTTAATAGAAAAGGAAAGAACAGACATACCTTAATAAATGAGTTTATCAGTTCAAATTTTATCAGAGTTTTGAAAATTCAGATAAAATTTCATTGTACAGACACTTTTGAGTGTTAGATCATGGCACCAAAAACAATAATGATATATCCTAAGAAACAAAGACCCAACAACTTTTTTCTACAGTTAAATATAATGAATAAGGTAGATTTGTCAGTCTCCTCTGTGATGTTTCTAGTGTTCAGTTAAAAGAATTAAAATGTGAAGGCATTTAGAGTTTTTCAAATAAAGCGTCAGATAGTAAAGAAGGTAGAAAATAATATGAAAAAAAAACTATTCAATATATCTCAAATGCCAAACATCCAAAACTTCAGGTTATCTCAATGCCCTTCTTAAAGAAGATCACCTAATCTACCTTTTAAAGACACATCAATAAATAAGTGTTAGATTCCTCAACTTAATAAATTAACCCACACCTTCAGATGGTATCAGAGGCATTATGCCACTTACAAAGAAAAGTCCAAAACAAAAGAAAAACATTCTTTGACTTCAAGGCACTTGTAAGTTAATGCTAGAAAAAGAACAAATATGATATAGTGTTGGTAATCTACCATGAGAAATTTAATACTCACAGAAGTTACAATTTGGGAATCCTTAAGTGTTAGTGATTTTCTGAAAAGCACTGAGAATTTTTTGAACAACAGTAGGTAAATATAGGCAAAGGAAAATATAAAAAGAGAAGAATCCAAGGATAGTGATAGAAACAAGGAAAGTAATTCAAATTAGAGAACCACAAGGTTAGTCTGACCCAGTAACACAGTGGTTAAGGAGTATACATCAAAAACCAGATCCCACATGTCTCACAGTTCAAATCTCAGTCTTGCTGGCTTGAAAAACAAACCAGGCACTAGGATTTGTTTGTCCCAAATCCTGAAAAGGTGGAGAAATGGAGAGAAAAAAATTATAGTATGAACCTTCCTCACTGGCGGGTGCTTTCTCTCTCTCTCTGGAAAGCACATGCCCACTGGCAGAGATAGAGAGTAGTTTCTGTGAATAGCCCCAGCTAGGTACTATTTTATAGTATGTTCATTCTACTCACTGAGGTTTATGCCTAAAGTCAGACATGGGTTCTTGTGTATGTATGTATCAGCTGTGCTTGCTATTGCAAATATTTAGACAAATTAAGTTCATTAGCAGATCAATTAAATGGGGGGGAAAGGCATAGAAAGCAATCATGGATACCAGAGACAATGGGAGGAGGGTTGGACAGGGCAGAGGGTTACGGATAGGGAATCAAGGATGGCAAAAACAAACAAACAAACAAACAAACAAACAAAAAACAAAAAAAAACCCGCAAAATATACAAGACATAAGAAATGAAAAATTGTTTGTTGATAACACGTATGTTGATGTGCTTGATTGAGCCAACAGACAGTGTATTTTGGTTGAAAAATTCAGTTTGTATACTGTAATGATGTATAGCATATTAGTGTTAAAAAAAGAAAAATAAATTAATAAAAAAAATTTTAAAAAAAGAACTATTGTATAGCAATCAGAGGTCAGGAATGGAGACATGATAGCAGATGAGAACTGCAGACAACTGCAAAAGAAGGCTCATCTAGAGACTTTTTGAGCCACAAGTCTATGGGATACTAATAGATATTACCCAAAGATAGCATTTACTAAAATTATTGACATTTTATTTCAAGAATATGAAGGATTTATTACTTACCCGGTTTATGTGGTTGTTTCCTAATATAACCTGTAGTAAGGTTTTCTCAAATTCTTCTAACTTCTTAGAACACTTTTTAAAAATATGATTAGATAAATTACAATCACTCATCAGTCTAGCTAAAGTACCAACAGCTTCTGTCCAAAAGCTTGAAAGAGGAAGCTTAACATTACGGTAAAAAATGATCAGGCCATCCAACAACTGAAAAACAGAATCAGAGATCATGGAAGAGTCTCTTTCAAAGTGAGCTAAGCCTGTTTTCAGACTACCTGATTCTGTCAAGTTCTTCAGTTCAAATAGATGTTGCAAGAACTGCAAGTGAGAAGACAGAGGATTTTCTGAGGTAGCACCAGATCTTTTCAGAAGAGGCAATGGTGGAAAGGGTGTTGGAGTGCAGCTCTCTGTAAAATGCTGGGACAGCTCTAAAGGTTCCATTCTCTGATCATTTGATAAATCACACCCAGAATCGTCCATCAAAGTTAATGTATTTTCAGAACTTTCAGGGTTCTGATACTGCAACTGGGCAGATAAGTTTCCTAAAACAAAATGGAGAAGAGTTACCTTCCTATAGCTAAAGGTTCTTCATATAAAAATTAGACATTGATTTTTCTAACTTAAAATACTAAATGAGGAATATAAATATATGTCAAATGTTTAACAAGCAATAATGTAAAAACTGAGCAGAGAAAAAAGTGTAAGAGAAATTTCCTAGGCTAACTGTATTTTCAAGTCACTACCCCTTTCAATTCATGCCATGCTTGAAAAATACAGAGACTAATACAAGAACTAAAAGAGGTCACAGTCTGGTAGAGTTTCCAACAGGTAACTACAAAGCAATAAGGTATACCCAGACACAGAGATTTATTTAGGACACTGTGAAAATAGAAGGGCCATTGAACAGCTCAGTGTGGTTAAATTAGTACAACCTGGAAGAGATGATGCTGGTACTACTTATAAACATAAGTAATAATTCAAAGTTAAAGTTAGGGAAAAAGCAAGAAAATTACATACTCCAAAAGAGTAAGTACAAAATCACAGATAAGGGGGAACCAGCAGTTAGCGTAATGGCTATGTCGCTGGACTCCCACGTAGTCGACTGCGGTTCGTGTCCCGGACCCGGTGGCTTAAAAAACTCATGCCGGGCGCGTGTGTGTGCGTGCCCAAGATCCCGAGAGGAGAATGGAGGAGAAGGGATTGCGGCGTGACCATCCCCCCTGGGGGGTGATTTCTCGCTTTCTGTCTCTATGTCTCTCTCTGTCTGTCTGGCGAGCGCACGCGCCCTACAGTGAAAATCTCTCAAAAAAAAAAAAAAAAAAAAGATCCACAGTAGTTTGATATTGCTTTCACAGAAAAAATGAGTCATGAGATTAAGATGGATTCATATGTAGAGGTCAGATCATAAAAGCCCTTATTAGACATATTAGGAACCTGAGGATTTATCCTGCATAGAACAGAGTGAATTTACAACTAGAATAATTTAAAACTCCTATGGGAAAATTATATACATGTGCATGTACAAATATCTATATACAAATATAAATATATGCAGATAACATCTATAGCTCTCTGTATGTATGCAGTATGTGTGTACATATGTGTGTGTGTGTATGTGTGTGTGTGTCTGTGTGCCTGTATATATCCTTGAAACCATGTCTATAACCTCTAAAATTTTCGGATATTGACTGAGAAAATTGTATTTAAAGCTAAACCTAAGGGGGTCAGCAGGTAGTGTGAAGGTTAAGGCACTGGACCCCACATGGTCAACCACATGGTTCATGTCCCAGACTGGTGACTCAAAAATCACTCCAGGTACATATGTGTGAATGCCCAAAATCCTTAGGAGATTGGAAGAAAGATTTTGACATGGTCATCTCTCCTACAGGGTGATTTCTCACTTTCCCCTCGTTTTATGTCTCTGTCTGGTAAGTGCACATGCCCCATAACAAAAATAAATAAATAAATAAAGTTAAACCTAATAATTTCAGATCATTCTTTCACAGATATGCTACCATAAATAAAAATAAGGTGGCAGTTGTTTTTTTAAATGAATATCACTACAATGTACAAACAAAATTGAAAAGTTCTTTTTGAACATTCTAAAGAAAAAAATATATATACACACACACATATATATATACACACACACGTGTATGTGTGTGTATATATATATATATATATGTATGTATTTGTTCAAAATATAACAAATATTACTGTCAGCCATGCAGCCCAAATGAGGACAAGAAGGTATAATATCTGAAAGATCAATCTGTTGGCTACAGAAAGGGCAAATTTGAGCAAAATATAATGAAACATTGAAAGGTTAATTATCAAAGATATACAATCACAGTTAGAAGGAATAAGTTCAAGATAACTACTGTACAGCATGTTGACTATATTTCATACGTATATAAACTCTTGAAAATAGAGATTGAATATTAAGTGGTCTCTCCACAAAGGTAACTATATGAGGTAATGAATGCATTTGTTGTTAGCTATATTTAACTATTCCACCAAGTATATACACTGCAAAATGAAATGTTCTATGCAACAACTACTTACAATTGTATCTGTCAAATGAAAAATAAAATAAAATGCACCTCTATTAGTCTGAGTATCAAGTAATAAAAGCAATGAACCAAGCAGTTGTAGTAGAAGGAAAAGAAAGAGATTGACTAGAGAAATAAATATAAAATATTAAAATATAATCTGGAAGCCAGTTTTTTGACTGGATAGAGGCAATGCAGTAGCAGTAGGAATGAATGCATTCACTGGTTCATTTCTGAAGTCCTTTACTTAACAGTGGTATTAGAAGACAGATGTTTCTAGTCTAAAGAAGCAGAGTGCTACAGCTTACTAATGCTATGACAGAGCTATTCTCATCTTTAATATTTACAATGAACTATGATGAACTCATCCGCAATTTACACCAAACCACAACAATTATGCAGACAGAATGAAAAAAGTCATATAGAGAAGTAGGTAGATAAACAAGATGAACACGATTATTGCAATAATTATTTAACATGTCTAAGAAAACTAACAAAAGTCCAGATTTTTTTCATAGCATCTACTACCTCTTGCAAGTATTTACCAATTTACTGATTCTCCTATCTATCCTCAGTGGTAACAACTTTGACGATTACAATCAGTATTTACATTGAAAATAAACACTTGCATATTGGAAAACACTCATTGCCTAATAAATCAAATAATATGGGACTTGGGACCAGCCGTTAGCATAATGGCTATGTTGTTGGACTCCCATATAGTCAACCATGGTTCAAGTCCTGGACCTGGTGGATTAAACTCATGCTAAGCGGCACATGTGTGTGCATGCCCAAGATCCTTGGAGGAGAATGGAGGAGAAGGGATCGTGGCATGGCCATCCCCCCTGGGGGGGGTGATTTCTCACTTCCTGTCTCTCTGTCTCTCTCTGTCTTTCTGGCAAGTGCACGTGCCCTTCAGCAAAAACCTCTCAAAAAAAATATAATAAAGCCAAAGCATCTACAGTATTCTACATCCCCTTCTGACACTGGATCTAGACTGTCTATTCCACTTTGCTGAGCCTTTAACCCTTCTATTTTCTTTCTGTTTTTAAGTCTCATCTTAAACTTGTCATTTCAGAGTGGATCTAAAGCATACTCAAAAAAATAGAGCTAGTATTTCCCTGTCACACATCCTGCCTGAGAAATGCCTACCCCTGGATCAATAGTAAATATGTTTTCAGGTGCCTTCAAAAATATTTACATGGATGTCAATTCTTAATGACTTTTCTCACTCATTTCTATAGTCCTTACCTTACCCAAGAAATGAAACCTATAAAACCAACTGTCTAAAGGGCATCTTTTTCTACATCCCCTGCAAGCTCCATGAATTTTATATTTATAAAACTGAACAAATCATTTTCATGCATCACACTCTCAAATACATAACTCATATCTGTCCAACATTGCAGCTAGTATAATTACCATCCCTCCTGTCACTAGTCTCAGGGTGAGGGATGATCCTTGGCTCCTTTCTCTTCTACTCTTTCTGTATAAGAATATACCATGTTAGGTTGATTCAACCTTCTACACATGTATTAATCAGGGTTTTCTTGATAACCAGAACCAGTAGGGGACACGGACACACACACACATGCGCACATATACACACACACACAATTTTTATAAAAATTGCCTTGAGTGATTACAGATGCTGGAAAGTCTCAAAATTTGCACTTGGCAAGCTGGAGACCTAGGAAAGCCAAGGGTGAAAATTCCAGTCTGAAAGCCAGCAGACTTAAGACTCAAAAAGAACTGATTTTTCTAATGGATTCTGAAAAGACCCATGTCCCAATTCAAGATAGTCAGAAAGAGTTTCCTCTTACTGGAGAAAAGGTTGGACTTTGGTTCTATCAGGTCTTCAATGGACTGGATGAGGCCAACCCATATTAGAAAGAGAACTTTGCTTTTATTCAGTCTACCAATTCAAATAATCTCATGAAAAAAAACACACTCACTGACACAGAACATTGACTAAATATCTGGACACCCCATGGTCCCATCAATTTGATAACCTCAAATTACTCATCACAACACATGTGCTGAAACTGTCCCAGTCCTTACTATGCTTCAGTTCACACTATGAGCATCTCTTGAACTGATTAATTCAATACTCTCATTGGCTGATCTACCTGCCTCTGTCCTTTAGACCACCTTCTGGACTAGCCTGAGGATCACCTTACTCATGTACTAGTCACAGGACTTCTATCCTTAAAATCTTTCATGGCTTCCATTACAGGATGGAGTCCTATACATTCCTCATCTTGGTTCATTTTTCACTGTGTGGCCCCTACCCTTTTCTCTAGCATTATCTCCACACTTTTATTTACATGAAATCAATATTACACTACTTATAGTTCACTAAAACATGCCACACTAATTCATACAATTGTGCATTCACACCAGTTGTTCCTCCATCTGATGTTTTGTTTTATTTTGTTTTTTAACTTTATCCTTTTATAAGAGAGAGAGGCATCCTCAATGGGGTATCTCTATGCCATGATCCTTCTGCCTTAGCCTCCCAACTTCCAGAATCACAGACATATTACCTCTCGTGTGACTTTAGCATTGCATGGTGATGCCCTATTGCTGTGCTATCATGACTAGGCCAGTGTCTGGTATGTCTTTATGTTATAACTCAGATATGCCCTGATTCTTCACCCCAGTTTCAAACCCTTTGTGAAATCTTCCCGGCTCAAACTAGGCTATGAAAACCACCTCTCTCTGGACTATATTGTACCTTATACACACTTTTATTATACCTATCAATCTTTTTTGAATGTATTAGTGACTCTGTATTAGAAATGAGAAATTTGGAGGGACCAGCAGATGGCATAATGGTTACGCTAGACTCCTACGTAGTCAACTGTGGTTTGAGTCCTGGAGCTGGTGGCTTAAAATTTACGCCAGGTCCATGTGCATGCATGCCCAAAATGCCAAGAGGAGAATGGAGGAGAAGAGACTATGGTGTGATCATCCCCCTAGGAAGTGAT